ATTAGTCATTTTGCAGCATTTATTTTGCTTAAAATACAGTGATAATAATTGTTGTGTCAGTGTTCAATAAAAGAATAGTTTTCATGTACACTTCTTACTCTCATATTTAATTGGTATCCTCTTGAGATTCCGTTTGGGCTTGTATTGGTATTTTCTCTTGTCATGTTTTCTCAACTTTATCACCTAATGCAAATGTAACAGGACGTTCTTTTTTTAAAAATTGGTTTGAAATTTTCTCTTGGCTTTATATTAGGAAACAAGTGATACTATAAATGCAAACTATTTCTTTCTTGAATATATCAGCGTGCCGGTACTTCTTTTCATAAATATTTTGAAATATATTGTGAATTGCAATAATTTTGTTTAAACAAAATGCAAAATGTATCTTGAGGGTTGAATTCCTGGTCGTTTTGGCTAAGTTCTATGCCAAATTTTCTTATCCATTTGTGACGAAAGATTTGTGAAAATCCATCAGGAACTACATAAAGTTCTTTTTTTTGATTGTTGCATGTAACTTCAACTTCAGCTATACCAAGTGGTTCAAATATTCCGGACGTGTAGATCGGAAACGAATGGATGTTGGTCTTAGTTTGGCTTGCAAAATGAAGTTCGTGAAAATCTTTTACAGGAAGTAATGTTAGTCCAGCTCCAGAATCAACTTCGAATCTTAGATTTTTCCCTTCTAACAATATGTTAATGTAATATTTTTGAGTAGGGGATTGACGACTTTCTGGTATATTTATGTCAACAAAACAGACTTGATTTAATTGATAAAATTAAAATTCATCAAGAAGGTTGGATTTGTCACACAGATATATTGAACTAGGTTGGTTTTCAATGTAGGCCTACTTAATTTTTGGTTTCTTTTGAAGAAGAGTATTTATGCATAGGTACCTTTTGTACATGACCTTTACGATTACAGGACAAACATTTGAGGTCATTATAATTTGTATTGTACGACACGTTGAAGCTATTATGTGATTGTTCCTGCCACATCGGAAGCAAGTCTTCTATTCCCAAATCTTTAAAGTCTATTTTGCGTGTGTTTGAAGGCTTGTTAAATCTTCTATTTGAATTTGAACCACTGTAATTTTGTTTGTTGTTGCGTTTGGAAATGTAATTGACTTCATCTTTCTTCTGTAGACTCTTTACATGAACATGTAAATGCACATGATATTTCAACCTTTCAAAGTTCAGTAATGTATTCTGACAAGCTCTGGTTTTCTTTTTGGAAACAGCCAAGACATGTATGACGTTCCACCATGACGTTTTTCTTCGGACTTAAATGAGTCATCAGTGCTGCACGGAGTTCATCAAACTGTAAGTCTTGCTGTCTTAGGTGCTATTAGAGTTGATAGTAATTCATAGAGTTCAGCACCAATGCTATTGAGTAAAAGCTTAGTTGCAATATGGTCATCAGTCTGGATTCCTTTTATTTGTTTGTAGTTTTTGAATCTTTCCAAATAATGTTTGAAGTTTTCCTTTTTAGAGTAGTATGATTCAAAACTAGGTACAATCATAATGTTACCGGTTTGTTCCTGTCGTTCTTGGTTCAAAACAGCATTTAGGACTTTTTCATTAGGTACTTGCTACTATGGTTTTGATAAGGTCTTCAAATTGTTGAGGATTCATCTTGGGTATTTGAATGGTAAGTATTTGAATTTAAATTGTAAATGATTGAAACTTGAAACTAACTAATTGAAATACAATAACTTTTAATCTCGTCACCAAAACACTGTTGTGTCACTGTTAAATAAAAGAATTTAGTTTTCATGTAGTTGTATTTTATTCACAATTAGAATTAACACAAAAATCATAACAACAAATGTAAAAATAATAATTATAACTGAAGCAGCTGACTCTATTAAGACAGAAATATGGAAATCCTACAATAATCTTTACCATTCACTTTATATCATACTTCTAGTCGACTTATAATTAATTGTTTAGTAAAATAAGCCTGATGTGATGAATATTTCACATCCAGTTACATAAGTATGCAGGAGTGGAATAGGCTATTTTCTTATTCATAGTAAATATGTTAAATTTAATATTTGGTTATAAAACCGGAGGAGGACACAAGCACTCATACTTGGCTTAAAATACTTACCTTCGTACTTTCAGTTAAAGGAATTAAAAGTAGGCCTACTAGAGTTTGTCCAGTGGTAAAAAAACTCTACCAAAAATTAAGTAATATACAGACGTCTCTATCTTCACCCCACGCTGCAAATGAAACATGTGATTGGAATTTCTTTGATTTGTTTTGATTTTCTGTTTCTTTTAGCGAATTTCCCTATAGGGAAGTAGCTATTACCGTAGGTCTCATGGTAAGACCTAAGCCCGGGACCGATTTACTTTTTCATTTTGATGTCCCCAGAGGCCAAAAACACCATTCGTTCAAATTTTTATATATCTATATATATATATATATATATATATATATATATATATATATATATATATATATATATATATGTGTGTCCATCCGCACGATAACTTGAGTAATTTTTGTCCGATTTTGATAAAATTTGGTTTGAAGGTGTAAGGCGGGATAAACTTGAATGAGTTCGCGAACCAGCATGATCGGACTATGGGAACGGGGGTTTATGGGGGGTTTTATTGGGTAAAAATAGGTTTTTCCCATTTTTGACCCTAAAAACACAAAATTTCACAATTTCTTTTTAAACCATTTTGTAGAGCTTAAAAAAACAAATAATTTAGTATATTGAAGCATTATTATGCGCCTTATTGTTACGGAGAAAATTAAAAAAAAATTGTAATTTTAAAATTCCCATGTTATTCTTATGGAGAATAAGTCAACTGTTGTAGTTTGCTTGTTTATGAACATATTTTGATCAAATTTGGAAAATACATTCATTTCTTACAAAACTACAGTATTAAAATTTTACAACAAAAACACTTTTTTACCCTCCCTGTTGCAGCAAACCTAAGTACTTGTTAAACTAATTTTATTTAAATAGGGAATAAATGTGATATTTTTAAGGAGACATTTTTTTAGTATAATCCAATCAGGCAAATGGAAATTCGCTAAGACTGCAGGTTTGCTGCGGCGGGGGTATTTTGTTGTTATTTCGTCACCAGCATCGCAACCCCTAAGGCCCATGTCAGTTTTTTACAAATTTAAAATTCATGTTTTGTGCTTATGTTTTAGCCGATTTTAATTTATAAATAGATTCTGGATTCTGCACATATACAAGAAAACTCATTTCTAACAGTATGCGTAGATTTTCCCTGCAATGCACACAAGCTGAGAAAAAATATTTTAAAGAAACGTGCTTGCCTATTAATATATAGATTAGGCACACTTCTCTTCTACACATATTTTTTTAGTTAAAGTAAAAAAATAAACATCAAAACATAATTTTATACCTTAACATTGTCTTCTGCTGATCTTGGAAGTAGGTATGTTTTTCCTCTGATATTATTGAGTCTCCAATCTTTGGTTACAACAACCTTAAAACCTTTTTTCGAGAAAATGATAAGAATAATAAGCTATAAGAGAATCGCTTTTTATCTGGACAAGAGCTTGACAGTGCATAATTTGTGTATCCACACTCAATATCTGTATAGATTAGGCACACTTCTCTTCTACACATATTTTTTTAGTTAAAGTAAAAAAATAAACATCAAAACATAATTTTATACCTTAACATTGTCTTCTGCTGATCTTGGAAGTAGGTATGTTTTTCCTCTGATATTATTGAGTCTCCAATCTTTGGTTACAACAACCTTAAAACCTTTTTTCGAGAAAATGATAAGAATAATAAGCTATAAGAGAATCGCTTTTTATCTGGACAAGAGCTTGACAGTGCATAATTTGTGTATCCACACTCAATATCTGAGGTAATTAGTAAATGAAACTAATCTGTGTTAATTGTCAAACTAATTTTTACTGAAAGAATAATGACAAAACATACTGTTAGCAATTTTGTACCTAATGCATAACCATGAATATAGCTTGTTTAATTGTAGGCAGCACTATCTGTTGGTGAAAGAGTGAACTGCAATCTGCCTTACCACAAGCTTTCCACAAGGCACAACTTTTCTGTAACTTTACCTACCAACACCTATGTTCATAATATGAAATTCTATGTTTAATCACACAATTATCATTTGTCACTGACATGATGTTTTTGCCGATGCAAATAATAATTACAATTTTCACTTGATGTAATTTCAAGCAAAGAAATATTGGTGTGCATGTTAGAGAGCAAAGAACAGAGAGAATAATAGTTCAATAAAATTTGTTGTGCGTTTTTTGTAATGTTGTATGATGTTAATTAAAGCATTTTAAAGCAAGGGTGTCTTAATTTTACAGCACTTTGCTGCCAAGTACTGTAACCCTGCAAAAGTACTTTGCATTCAGTCGTGTATCAACCTGTATATCTCAAGGGTAGAACAAGTCAAATACAACCCCAGTAAAAATACAACATTTTTATTTTATTTTTATCCATTTTTACACATTTTTATCTTTTTTTAATGTACTAAATATTCCTAACCAGGTAAGTTCAACGTTTCATAACCCTAAGCCACTAATTTATTAAATAGGTTTATGCTAAACTTGACTAAATAGGCTATTTAAATACATTACTAGTTGATTAATATGAAAAGAAAAACATTGTACGCAAAGGTATTATGTATCAAAAATTAAAACGTGTCTCCTAAAATGTATTTAAAAATGTATCAATAAGTGCAATCAGATGAATAACCTTGATGTTGAAAATCTACCATAGTAAAATAGGGTTTTAACTGTACACTTCTGATACATAATTATTATTAAACACAAAAAAAATATTACATTATTTTAAACTTATTTTATACTTACAGGTATTTCTCACTTATTATTAATAAACTTTGATAAAACCTTATTTTTACTAATTCACAATACATTGAGTAGTGTCATTATATTCTATTGTACTGATTACTGCTACATCAAAAAAAAACTTCAATACTAAAACGTAACTATAGATAACACTAGGCTTCTACAGTAAAATCATTTTTATCCTTAATCTTTAGCATCAGCTATTCCTCCATTGGTGATAGCAAATGTAGCTTCATTCTCAGGCATATCAGGGCTGAAAATAAATACATACCAGTGATTTGAAATATTAGCTGAGAAACCTCAACAAAACTATTACAGTATTAAGAATTGAAACAAAATAAAAACTGTTGAAAAAATTTGTGGATCAGATGTTTGTCAACACATTGAAATGATCAATTTTCATTACAGCAATTGCGGGGCTTAGAAAAACAACTAGGTAAACCAATTTAGTATATGATTGAAGCATTGCTATCCAATTAAGAGCCTTACTATGCACAGCCACTTTGCTATAGAGTATTGACAAGGTGAGGCGAGGTTGCCCGCCTGACCGAATTCTATACAGACTTAGTTTCTTAGTGTGAAAGATATAGTCGTCAAGTGAAGAACATGAACTATTTCTTCAGTTTTACTTAAATGTCGTAAACGTAGGCAAAATAAAAGTACTGGAGTCCTCACGTTACTAAAAGTAAAAAGGTGTATACACTGCGGTTGCACGCAGACGCACTGAATAAATAAATTAAGTTATGTGATGAACTTGGTTTGATGGATCTGAATTATAACACTGAGAGAGAGAGGGATAGTCTTTATTACATGAGCGTTAAGCTCAGCAATGGTGTCAAAATTAAAAAAATTAACAACAAAAATCTTTTTTTGACAAATGTCAAAGTCTCTTCCACAGAGTGCAATAAACTCGTCGATGGTATGGACAGGGTTCTCAAGCATCCAGTGTAGCATCCTCTTCTTAGGGGACTTGGGAGTTTTCATTCTTAATGGTTGAAGGAAGGAGATTTAATAGCTTAGCCCGGCGTATGATGGCTTCCTGGAGTATCTTGATGTGTCATGTGCAAGTAAGTTGTAGTTTCCAGCATTTCTTGTGTGTAGTGTGGATGTTCACCAGCATTCCTGAGGAGGTTTTATGAAAGGAAGGCGACACAGGTCATTGAAATCAGTTCCACAAAAAACGGCAAAACCGCCTCTTTCAGATCAGAGCTGATGTTGCCAGAAGAGTCCCTCAAGGTTCAGTAATGGGTCCCATAATTTTTGCATTGTTCTCTGCAGATCTTCCGAACTCCATGGGGGCACATAGTCATACTGTCATGTTTACTAATGACTCAGTACTGTTAACCAGCAACTCATCTGCCGAAACTTTGGAGATTCTTCTCCAGAAATTGAAACAGCTCTGTTCACTAAATACCTTGGCGTGACAACTTGCGATGGGATATGCATGTGGATTTCCTCTGTCACAAACTCAGTTCTTCCCTGTTTGCTCTAAGGCGGATCAAACATGTCGCTACACCTGAAGCTACTCGTTCAACCTACCACGCTTTGGTTGAGTCCCATTTAAGATATAGGATTGTTCTATGGGCGAATTCATCTAAAGAGAATATGAGTCGGGTTCTCACCTTGCAGAAAAAAAACCATTAGAGTTCTCGGAGATGTTCAGTGGAGATAAAGCTGCAGGAACACCTTCAAGGCACTCAAGATTCCAACTGTGGCCACTATATATATATATATATACCCCCGCCGCAGCAAACCTGCAGACTTAGCGAATTTCCATTGCCTGATTGGATTTAAACTAAAATGTCTCCTTAAAAATATCACATTTATTCCCTATTTAAACAGAACTAGTTAACCGCCCGTGCTCCGCCACGGGAATATTGTCAGCAATAAAAGAAATAATAACTAACAAATACTGTTTATCTTTGTATTTTATTTAGGGGTTGTTTAATTTTTTACATGAAATAGAACTGATAGTTTGCTTGTATAAACTATTTTATGTTAATCAAACCGATATATTATTTTAACCAAATGAATGTTTTATATTAATTCGAGTTTCATTTGAAAAATAAATAGTATACGAACTGGGCAATGCTGATAACCTAATAAGCAGCTATTTATGCTATTTAGATAATTTGCTCAAGTATATTCCTATATTCGTCGTTTTTTTTTTTTTCATTACATTTGTTGTATGGAAAAAAGATAGTCACTTAGCCTACATGTAAATCACGCATCAGCAGTTGGTCGCATTTCACGAATCTTTGACCCATACTGTGAGTAAAAGCTGTGTTTACGTCGTATATATAAAGTTGGGCATACTTTGTTCAATGTTAGAGGGTATTCCAATTAGAAGGGTACGGTCCAATTTGATGGAAAAGGAGTCGTGGATTTAAAACTATGTAGACTACCACTACCAGAAAGATGTTGATTCAAGTGAGACTTAGAACTGGCCATTTCAAATGCAGATTTGTATTAGCCTATATTTTACTCAAACAGTTTTTTGTCTCTTGTGTCCCAGTTAGTCTGTTCTGACTCAAAATTCATAGATTTGCAGTACTGACAAATCCAATCTAACGACCCCAATTCAAAAAAATTGGTATTTTTTTTAAGGGACTTCCAGAGCACATTTAACACCATCACTTCTCTTTACCTTTTTAGTTCGATGGTTCTCTACATGTTTTTTTGTTCTGTATGTCTCTTTATGCCCGGTTAATGATAACCTTTTCTTTTTCTTTTTGTACTTTTCACATCCTGGGGTTAATGATAAAGTTTTATAACGCTATAATGACCCGAGTCAACATTGCCATTAAACATCAAGTCAGATACTTATTCGCCAGAACCGAAATCGTAAGTCACAGTTTCTGAAGCAACTTCCCTGTGTAAGCCTACTCGAAAAAATATAGTTAGGGTATAGTTCACTGATAAATTGTAGTTCCAAATATCCCAGCGTACTCGCCGTCTCGAGAAGGTTTGGACGTCGAACACTGATCTTGAGTAAGATTAATCACTTACGATAAAATGTTTGTATGTTTCCCACTCATTAGCAATTATATGTAGGCTACAACTTGCAAGCGGATTTCCCCATGATTATTCTGGTGGCCGTAGAGAATAAATTATATTGATCAAAACAATATGTTTCTGTTCCCTACTATGGGTATTATTTCACATTCCATACTCAAACTTAAACTCAATTACCACTTTCCTTCAGATCACTTTGCAGGAAAACTAAAACATTTCAAAAATAAGTTAACAAATACACTTTCCTTGATCAAAATCGTGTGTTTATAAACAGAAACTCCAAGTTTAATAATTGCATACTGAAAGTGAGGTTATACAAATAATAACAAATGTCTGACAAACATTAAACAGCTGACGAATAATTTATAAACTGTGTATTATATTCTTCAATAAGAATTGTATTGACTCGACCTTTAAAGGGCTGTAAGTCGTAGCCCTTAGAAAAAACGTAAATTCTAAGGAAGTTCGGTAAATCTACACACTGTCCCCTTTAATTTGAGACATAAATCTTGTAAATCGGTCCAGTAGCCTAATTACTGAGAAAACAGTGTTACAACTGTGTATTAAATATATAGATTAGTTTAATGAATACTTAGGTTTGCTGCAAAAAGGAGGGTAAGAAAGTTTTTTTTATGTAGAATATTAAAAGGTACTGTGGTTTAGTAAGAAATTAATGTATTTTCCAACTTTTATCAAAATATGTTCATAAACAAGCAAACTACAACAGTTGATTTATTCTCCATAAGAATAACATGGGAATTTTAAAATTACAATTTTTTTGAATTTTCTCCGTAACAATTAGGCGCATAATAATGCTTCAATATACTAAATTATTTGTTTTTTTAAGCTCTACAAAATGGTTAGAAAAGAAATTGTGAAATTTTGTGTTTTTAGGGTCAAAAATGGGAAAAACCTATTTTTACCCCATAAAACCCCCCATAAACCCCCGTTCCCATAGTCCGATCATGCTGGTTCGCGAACTCATTCAAGTTTATCCTGCCCTACACCTTCAAACCAAATTTGATCAAAATCGGACAAAAATTACTCAAGTTATCGTGCGGATGGACATATATATATCTAATATATAAAATTCTCGTGTCACAGTGTTTGTCTGCAAACTCCTCCGGAACGACTTCACCGATCGTTATGAAATTTGGTGTGTAAATTCTGTAGGTATGCGAATCGGACGTTAACTATTTCCCGTTTCGAAATTCTTAAAAGGGCTCCGCCCCAGTGGCTCTGGAGTTTCCCATGTTAACCTTATGAGAAATGGAATTAATGAATCTTAACAGCTGTTTCAATTAAACAAGTTGGTTCTGTTCTATGATGTTCAATAGCATTAAAGTTACAAGGATTACCAACAGGGTGCAGCACTATTATTTCTTTTACATTTATGACAACAGCTAATTTGCAACCAAAAGGTGAGTGAGCGTAGCGAATGAACTTCAACCTGGAGGCGAGTTAGCATAGCGAACGAGCTCCAACCCAAAGGTGAGTGAGCGTAGCGAACGAACTTCAACCTGGAGGCGAGTTAGCGTAGCGAACGAGCTAACCTGAAGGCAAGTGAGCGCAGCGAATGAGCTCCAACCTAAAGGTGAGTGAGCGTAGCGAACGAGCTCCAACCCAAAGGTGAGTGAGCGTAGCGAACGAACTTCAACCAGGACGTGATTGAGCGATGCGAACAAGATCATCTTGAAAATTAAACGTAACGGTACTTTCTTTCCATCGGTCTGTCTTAGGGGAAACATATAACTTAGGCGATACGAAGTTCGCCGGGTCAGCTAGTATATCTATATATAGATATATAAAAATTTGAACGAATGGTGTTTTTGGCCTCTGGGGACATCAAAATGAAAAAGTAAATCGGTCCCGGGCTTAGGTCTCACCATGAGACCTACGGTAATAGCTACTTCCCTATAGGGAAATTCGCTAATACTTCCCTATAGGGAAATTCGCTAATATATATATAATAATTATGGTTGTGATTAGGGCTACTATTATATTAATAATTGGAAACATTATAACAACATTAAGTACCCTTTTATACCTGAAATAACCAAATAAACTGAGAATGAGTATAGTAATATTTTTAAACATAAGTGTAGACCAAGAATAACATTTGGAAGTAGTGCTAACTTGGTCGTTAGTGTTCACAAGTTGTAGGTACTAGAGAACCCGTGCGGCTCAATGAGCCGCATAGTTTGAAACATAACGCCGAGGAAAACGTTATGCTTAAATTTGAGTAATTCTAGTTACATCTTAGAGTTATTTAAACACTTGTTAGAAACTTATTTTAAATATCTCTGTTTGTGTCGTCAAGGTTCACCTACATTGTTTCTGCTCTCAGTTTTAACTGATAACTTCTAATGAATGCTAAACGATCTACTTCAATTCGAGCTAATATGTTGCAACAAAGTTTTTCCAGCATTGAGAATTTAAGAAAACTGTTGCCCTAATCAATCGAATTTTCTCCGTAGAGAATCCTGAAAAGTGGAGAGATATCAACCATTTAATGTGCTCCATTTTTTACCCACAAACTCTGGGTTATCAACTGGAAATCCATAATCTGCTTTGAATAGGCTAAAGCAGCAACACCATTGATAGTTTGTTAACGTATTTTAACGTGTTGTGTGTTAGTCACAGTAGGTACATGATTTGCATCAGAACGTTCTCACGTTGTTCATTGGGGTTTCTCTTAATAGGTTACATGTCCCAAAGTTTTGAAAGTATGGATTCATTTGTCGAAATAGGTTGGATACTCTTGTAGCTATAAAATTTGGATAGCAATTTTCATTTTCTCTTTTTGAAAAGCGTATATTATTTGCCTCTCCTGAATCATAAAAATAAACTTGACTGTAACTACTCGATCGTTGAATACACACTAATTCCTTCACTTATGTCTAATATTGCCACTAAAATTCAGTCAAAAAACTTTGTATTAGTTAGTCCGAGGAACTGGCAACATAACCTAGAAGTAAACAATCCATTTGTGTTTTTCCTCAATAAAGTAGAGCGAGTAATACAAAAGTTTACAATAAAAACATAAGGTCCGCCAAGATTTGGTATAATCTTACTACTTGATGCATTATTATTCTTTGTACTAATCTTTTTGAAATCTGTCAGTGTCAGAAGTAAACATATCTCGCGTGCATTCATTTGATCTGACATTAGGCAAGTTTATTTTACCATCGTGACAACACTATGTGCTTCGTATATTTTTCACTTCCAAAGTAAGTTGCAAAGTAGAACTGGTAAATATTATTCATCTCACAAAGTGAATGTGTATATGTATGTGTATCTGTTAGACCAGGCCTCTCTTTCTCTACTCTCCTTATACGCATATGATACCTTATTATTAATTGTCTCCCGTTTTCAATATTTCTTCTTTGAACTTCAGGAATTTTCCGTTTTTCCAACAAAACTGATTAACTGTTTAACTTGGTCTTAACCTACTGAATATTACAAACAATAATATTTAATCCCAAAAAGCTAATAAGTTTCTTTTTATAAACAGCTGTCTTTTGTTTTTAAATTTGTTCTGTGTATTTCTTATGGCAAAAATCCGACCTTTAAAAGGGTCTCACGCCCTTGAGAGTAGGAATTTTAAAATTGTAAAACCTTATTACAAAACTACATATTGAGACGAATCTTTTGACACCTTAAACGTTGAAATTGGTCCACAAATAAGGGAGGAGTTGCGTTAACAAAAAAACGGCTTCACGTATTATATAGAGTATATTATATATTATTCTGTTATTGTATTTGTAAAAAAACATGACTATGACCTAAGTGTCGAAACATGTCGTTTCTTTATTAAAATGAATTTAAAAGGGTACTTAATGTTGTTATAATGTTTCCAATTATTAATATATATATATATATAATAAGTACGAGGTGTTAGCCCGTCCTACGTACGGGAATTCAGTAGTCAGGTAAAACCGTGTACAATTCAGATCAGCTAGTTTACACATATAAAGACAAAGTTTCTTGCAGTTTTAATGTGAAAGATCATCTTGTAACCAAATGTTGTGTGACCAAATATGTTTTTATTCCATCATAGGCCTATACGATATGCATTTTAAATCCGATAAGTTTACAATAAAACAGCAATTCTGCAATTTTTACGATGAGAAAATTATATCAGTTTCACTGCATTAATTGCTAAATAAATAAGTGTAAACAAACAAAAGTAAAAGCAATAACAGCTGTTTGGTTCAAATAACATTCATTTGAAAAAAATAACTGCTACATGTATACTGCTACATGTAGCAGGTATATAAAAAGTAAACACGCTAGTAAAGCTAATGACGTAATTATCAATGTTTATTATCCATACCATTCAGTTCTATCCTTGATAATTACCCACCCTCATTGAATAAATGTACATCGTAATTTCCCATATCAGTTAATTTAAACTACAATATATTCAATGTTGAAATAAAAGTGATATTTTCACGTTTGGGGGCGCTGATATAGGCACCCCTAAACGTAACCACAACTGAATTTCATAAAAGGATGGTTTGTCTAATTGCAGTATTCTAAGTCAATGTTGACGTTGTGTTCAACCTATGTCATCCATCTGTTTATCTTTGTATAAAACCCAGCTGAGGTTGTGGTGGTAATTTAAAATCTTGATTCCTGATTATTCTTCTGATATCTTCTTCTTATGACATCAATATTTCCAGGCCTAATCCAAACAAAGTTAAAGCAGACAAACATTAATTGTAAACAAAAAGCTACCATGAAAAATTAAAAAATGTAAACATTGTTATTTTTCTAACCTTTTCTTGAAAAGCGGAGCAGTAAAATAATTTGCATTTATCCTTTTTTTTATTAAGACTCGTGTATAGAGCCTCGATTTGTGCTGTGGTTTAATTCATTTTGGTCTAATCTATTTTAAACTGTGGTATAATTATCTCTACCAATCTTACATATTTCATATAATCAATGACAAAGTAAGAGTAAATAAAATAACCTCATAGTTCCATAGTTTATATTTAACCAGCTGTTTAAAACAAATTATATTGCTCCAAAACAAATCGAAGATTACAAAGATTGCTTTAAAAAATAATTTGAACATCCTAGTACTTTACTATGTATTTTTAATTAATCTGTCATCCTCTTACAGAAGAATTGATCGTATCAATGATTAGCATTACACATAGTATAAATAAGTCAACCCTAAGTATGTCTTTACATTTTTATCCAAATGCTAAATTTGTGACACAAAAGCTGAATGTTTACAGCTGTTTTGTTAAGCAAATTATTTTATGTCAAAAGCTAGTTTAGAATCTAGCGTCGGCTGCTAGACTTTTTAAAAATTTAAACTTAATTTCTAAAAAACTGGGACCCTAAACTAAAATTATGGCTTCGACATTGCCTAGTTCTCAAAATTATCTTTCTTTCAACACAAAAATCATGAAAATCCGTCAAGTGGTTGATTCAGAATCGTGAAATAAAAAAAACACTGTTTCGTTTTAATATTATAGATGATTGTGATTAGGGCTACTACTATAAATAATTGAAAACATTATAAAAACATTAGTACCCTTTTTAAATTCATTTTTAATTAATAAACGACATGTTTCGACACTTAGGTCATAGTCATGTTTACATTTACAAATACATTTATAAAACTGAAATATTATATAATATACACAAAATTAAACAAAGATTAAATCAAGATCCTCTAAATTCTAAGTTAACTTAACATATGACTATTTATTCCTTTCATTATTTTTGTTATTGTATTTGTAAATGTAAACATGACTATGACCTAAGTGTCGAAACATGTCGTTTATTAATTAAAAATGAATTTAAAAAGGGTACTAATGTTTTTATAATGTTTTCAATTATTTATATATATATATATATATATATGCAAAGTAGTTGTGTACACAAGCAGTCAGAGTTGTTTACTTGGTTTTCAGCCATCATTGTCAGAAAAGGTGAGCAATCCATTCAAAATATTTTATTATATTTTTTAAGATGTATATTTTTACTTTGGCTCTAGCGACCACTAAAACTTGATTGGTTTGAAATCCACTCTAAAGAGCAAAATCACTGTTCACTTATGAACAATCAAAAATTTGCACTAAATTGTTTAAAGGATAAAATTGTAATGTCTTTGTAGTACACCTAATGGACTATGCACTTTTCCATATTTCCATTCATTTAAAGGACATATGAATGAATGCACTTTCTCTTTAGTTTTTGGGCATTGTTAGATCTAAGTGTTTACTAGACCTCTCCATCTTCTTTTTTCCTAAACTGTTCGTCTTCCACCACTGCTTAACTTCACTAATCCTTACTCAACGTACCTCTTTACCCCATCTATTCATCTTCTTCTTTGTTCTCATTCCCTCTCTCCACATCTGATCTGCCCAACTGGTAGTGGATTAGGACGTGGTGCAACTGCTACTTTTTTAAGGGTGTAAAGTGCGCTGTTTCACGATGACCAATCTCATGACGTCCAAAGCTTGTAGAAATATTGCAGTTACTGTACTTTGGACAAGGTGAGATTTGGACTTTGTGTAACAGTCAAATATTTTACATTGGACGTCGTGACACTGACTTATATCATTGGACGTCGTGACACTGACTTATATCATTGGACGTTGTGCAATGCATCCCGCTGGTGGCGCAACAGTTGCTTGGACTCGCCACGAGTAGCAAGGGTGCACGATTAGAGTGGGCAGTCGCGGCGACTATTGCATGCCACATCACAGTGGTTGTGTCGATTGCTCTATACATTAGATAACATGGCCCGCTAAAAGTGGCCTTTGAGCAGTCGCTGTCGCAAGCCAATCGAGTGGCCGCGCATAATAAGGCTTTTAATGACTATACACAACACAATAATCTTAGGTTGACGTGCTAGGACCCTGATTCAACCCTTCTTACAATACAATCTCAAAGACATACAGATATGGCATTTTATCTAACACAGTTAAATATCTGTCTAACCTGTCATATATCTTAGCAATCCTAGTTTCACCACGGCCTTTCCTCAATGAAATTCTGGTGGTAGAAGCATGGGCTAGAATGTTGCCTCCAATTGGTTTCTTGGGATCAGCCTGGAAAAATAAAATAAGATCACTTTTTCTATTCTACTTTAATCATTTGTTAATGATTATTACAAAATTGTATCAAATCGTACCATACAGTACCTTGTGTTAAAAAATTGCTATATGTTTTTATGTGCTCAAAAATCTGGGATCACACATGATCTACTTTTATAAAGTATTACTAAATTCTTCGAAACTTGTTCCTCAATGGAGACCTGTCCAGTCGACACTATTAATTCTATATGTTAAACCTTTGTGTTTTACCAAGGTAGCTAAGACTTTTAAAACATTGTATAGACACTAACACTCTGACACAAAGGCACTACACTCACCAATAGTCCTGTTAACTTAGGTGTATCGGGTATATATTGGTAGAAAGAGTGACAAAGATATTTTGAAGGTAGGGTCATAGTGATGTATTTTTGAGGTATGGGGAAAGAGCTAATGCCTCCCTACACAGAACTCTAAAATTCCCAAAATTTTTTGACATCTAGAGAGCTGCAAGTATTTATTGTTTGTTAATGCTGGATTGATGCTGTCCCACTACCTCCGATCATGAAACAGAAAGCATACAGTCCCATCACCTCTGCTAGAAAGATTTTGTTCTAATATAGATGCTAAGTCCCAGTTTTTTAAAACCGGGAATCTATTCTGTTCACTAGGGGTGCACAGATAGGTAGTGTTAGTTAGTAGGCTATTGTGATATTTCAGTCCAGGGAGCCGAAACTGAGGCTCTAGGACTGTAAAAAGTAAGGCAGTAAAAAACATTAAAATATGCTTTATTTTATAAATATTTTTTTATACTACGTTCATTTTCATTTAAAAACTGACTATTACTTTGTTTGAATGAAATTTTTAGTTCACTAGATATGCCAGCAAAGAAAGGTTGTACATTTAATGGTTTTACAACATGTTTACAATGAGTACGTATTATTTTCCTATCCTGCTATTCAACCTTGATGCAGACAATTTAGGTGTGATAAACCGAGACGTTACTATATTTGTAGACTAGGAGTGTGTGTGTCACCTGGAAGGAGAGTGTTGCGCCGGGGTCTGCCGTCATCTGATTGGTGATGAACACTGCCACGTTGTACTCCTCCGATATCTTCTGCAGACGAGACAACATCTGAGCCAGCTTCTGCTGTCTGTCTGCCAACTCACCTCGACCACTGAAGTCTACACGGAACAGCGCCATGATAGAGTCCACCACCTACAAAGCCAATTAATCTGTTTAGGCTTATCATAATCTTCATGGTGAGAGCTGGGTTCTCAAACAAGTTCCTAGAAGCCAAAAACACTTTACAACATGTAAATATACTTTTAAAAACTCCTATGATATTTATTTAAACTATTTATTTGTTTTAAATGGGGAGAAACATCAGTGATTAGAAGTAAAAGAGTAATAAGATTATTAGGCCGGGCCTACACTATCCGTTTATCAATGGTCCCGTTGAACGGGAGCGTCTTTGAAGGAAGACGCCAACACATTGTATTGAATTGGCACGTACACATTGACCGGTCGAAACCGACGCGAAAACACAACGCACTATCCACTATCGCGTGGCGGGACAGCGGTATGTGCGGTACAACCAGACAAAGACAAAAAACACATTCAGTCTAGTGGGTGCATACACACTATCCTGTTTGCGTTGTGCGGTTGTTTCAAAGTCTCCAAATTGAAATTTTTGATGTTGATGAGTTTATTGAAAATTTTCATGTGTATATTCATTTTTAACCTACCTCTAAAAATAATAGTTATTTGTGCAACTAGTGAGAAAAGTGAGCAATTGACTCACTCGAGAGAAATACTTACTCACGAGCCGTAGGCGAGTGAGGAATGGTTTCTCGAGTGAGGCAATTGTACTTTGAACTCGAGTTGCACATTATACTTTTCCTACAGTTACCATAAAACAAATAAATTGGTGAAGAAACATAACCTATTTTTACACAGAAGTGAACTTTTAATATAACATTTAATGTGAAGTGACAAATACAACAGTACAACAGCTGACCAGCTGATTTACAGCCAGTGCTGCCAACGTATTTCGCGCGCATACGACGTTGCCTGCATGTTACGCGCTCACTATTTCGTGCCTTCACGTTGCAAATCTGGAGTGAGACAAAGTAATTAGAGTGAGACAATGTTAACATTGTCTCACTGATGAGCGAATTGGCCACTTTGCTTTCTCAAATCAGTGAGAGAACATGTACATTGTTAGGTAACTGTAGGAAAAATAATTTTATAAACAATTGGTTTTTGAGCTTCTTTAAATTAATGGCTTTAACAAAAACTAGGCAATTAAGCATTTTTTTAAACAAATTAAAAAAATACCCCCGTCGCAGCAAACCTGCATACTAAGCGAATTTCCATTTACCCGGCTTGGTTTCTACTAAAATATTCCCTATAAATTTTCAGATTTATTTCCTATTTAAATAACATTAATTTTAGTGAGTAGTTAGGTTTGCTGCTACAGGGAAGATGTTGAGATGTGTTTTTTTCAATTGAAATATTGATAGCTTAGTATGAAATAAACCAAATTGCCAAATTTGATTAAAATATATCCATAAACAAGCAAACTAGAACAGTTTATTTATTCTCCATAAGAATAACATGGGAATTTTAAATTTTCTCCGTAGTCAATGAACATTCAAAAACACTTCAATATACCAAATTATTTGTTTTTTTAAGCTCTTCAAATTGGTTTAGAGAGAAATTTAGAAATTTTAAGTTTTTAGGGTCAAAAATGAGAAAAACCCATTTTTACCCCATAAAACCCCCCATAAACCCCTGATCCCATGGTCCGATTATGCTGGTTCGCGAACTCGTTTGAATAAATGTAGGTTTACACGTTTGTACCAAATTTCATTAAAATCGGATCAATTTTGCTCGAGTTATCGCGCTAACGGACACATATATAAATATATATATATATATATATATATGAATTTGAACGGATGGTGTTTTTGGCCTCTGGGGACCTCAAAACGAAAAAGAAAATCGGTCCCGGGTCTAGGTCTTACCATGAGACCTACGGTAATAGCTTATTCCCTATATGGGAAATTCGCTAATATATACATAATCATTTATTTCATGTAGTCCCTCAATTAGAAGATCTGCAACCTATGATAATTTTACAGCAAGACAGTGCTCCTTCTCAGCATTGGGCTAAATGTGTGAGGAATTTTTTAAATCTTCACTTTCTCGAACCACTCGAACGTTGGATCGGGTGTGATGGGCCGACGAAATGGCCACCTCATTCTCCCAATGTAACCTCCATGGATTTCTTTTTGTGGGCATTTGTCAAGGACACTGTATATTCTTCCCCGGTCAACTGACGGAGGGAATCAGAAATTCTGTGGCGAATGCGTAACCCAGGATATGCTGACTAAAACCTGGGACAAACTGAAAAGACGTAAAGAAGATCTGCAGACCACTGGAGGCACACACATAGAGTTGTGTCACGTTTGTACATAGTTATAAGTCTTAACAAGTTTCCTTTTATGTCTAAATAAATCGTTGTCCTACTATATACTCGTTTTCATATTATGCAGTTTTCTTATCAGGCCAAGGCTTTGTGGTCACCCTGTATAATTCATTATATGTAAAAATTAAGAACATGTAACGGTGAAGGATGATGTGGACGTGCAACAGTGTTCCTGTTAAAACGCATCCCTTTTTGACGGATGCGGTGAAACGGATAGTGTAGACCCGGCCTAAGGCAACTGTGGTCTTGCTCCAAGTGGTGTGATACACCTCTTCTTTATAGCCCTACTATCATCGTCACATTTCTCATTGAGTTTAAATAATAGGAACTAACTTTGAATTAACAACTAGTTTTAGTTACCAAAAGTTTGAATACACCAGGCTCTTCATGAAATTTGGCAGCAACAAAATCCAAATATTCAAACTGATGCTCGCTGGTATAAGCCCGAGCATACAAAATGTTATCCAAAACAGCGTCCTGGTCTAGGTTGAACCGCTGAGCAATCGGACGCAAACGATCCGGCCGACTATAGACTGTATTGGAAAATTATACTTACTGTGAAAAATCTATGCAATAACTACATTTTTACATGTTAAACACCCCTAAACAGGTGGTGGAAAATACACTTGTAAAGTAGTACCAATATTTATTTATTTAAAAATAAAATAATAATACATGTACCATTATTTTGTAACTGACTCTGTTATCAAATATAAATATTGTGGAAATTTAAAATTAGTAGAAACAAAGAGAAAGAAGGGACTACTCTTTAGTGGTTTTCCAGGTTGGCTGGATTTCTGTACTAACCTTTTGTTATGTTTTATTTAGGTAATTTCCCATCTTAAGTAAAGACCAGATTACGATTACAGATCCTGATACTTATTGTGAAAACTTATTAGGCCTTCTAAACCTGATGTAAAATGTTTGCAAACATAAAAATATTATATGACCAAAAATTAAACAAAGCATTGTCAAGAATATTTAACCAATGAATACAAACCCTTTAAGAAGCAAAATGCTTATGGAAAATAGTCAGACTGGAATTTGCCACCGAAATGAGCTTCACGCGGCGGCCGCGCTACTTCATCTCTCTCTCTCTCTATGCAGATTCTTTGTTTCACTCTCTCTCATTCAGTCAGCATGTCTTGGGCGCAAGCTCGCGATAGTCTACCTAGCGACCACCGCGGGAGTTATACGAAATTCAAATATTCCCAGACTGATTTTTTAACAAAGGCATTGCGGTAAAAGGGTTCGTATTCATTGGTTTAACCAACCGTCTCATTTAACATGATAATATTTCCATTAGGTTTGAATCACAGTAGGATTTCTAATTTATAAATCTTGTAAATAATAAATCTAAAAACTCATGAAGAAGTACTTTTTCATTGTCTTGGTGTAATAATGCTAAGAGGTTTAACTATTTTCAAAAATGCATGGGAAAGCATTCGTCTATAAAAGCATTCGTCTATAAAACACTCAGGCCTATCTCAGTATGATGAATCCACTGAAACAAGAGTTTTAGATTTATTATTTACAAGTTTTACAATTTAGAAATTATTACTGTGAATCAAACTTAATTGAAATATAAATGTAGAAATATTACTAGACCTACTACTACACTTTATTACTCTAAATGACAATTTCTTTGGTGCAACTTTAAGGATACAATGTGTTTTCAGTGTCAAGGAAGATGACTTTTCCGCCACTGTAGCTGGTGGAGGGTATCTGAGCAGTAACGCAGAGTGTGTGGGAAAGTTGGGTCTTCCCTGTACGGAACTCTCCAAAGGCTTCAGTGATGGCCATAGACTCAATTCCACCTCCGAGTAGCTTACTGCAACATATCACCTCTAGACATTCCATCTCCATGTTAAAGTTGTCGCCAGGTTTTCAATCAAATTTGTCTTAGTTGATGTGTGCCACCTACAGATTGCTCTGATATAAATTACTGATTTCTACCGATTACACAATGGTTTTTACCAAGTAAAACTGATGGAATGACTTATTATGAACTATAGCAACTGTTATGACCCAGTCAGTAACTATGTCAGTAGCAAAAAATAAGGTACAAAATAGAGTTTTAGACACTAGAGTAATCTGTGACTGGCTCACACAACTACATTCATTTTTAGTAAAAAATTGCCAACAGCTGATCCATATAGATTGGATGTCTTCTTCTGTATCCAATAGTCAATGATATCACCAAGATGCGTCATATGTTGTGCTTTACTGAGTAGGCTAAAATTTTTGTTTTGTTTTGATCGCACACTAATAGCCTATAGGGGGAGCGAGCTGGCGTAGTGGTTAGAGCGCGGGACTTCAGTCCCTGAGGTCCTGGGTTCGATCCCGCCAAGTCACCAATGGATTTTATCTAAGTGATAATGCCGCAACCCCTAGGTCTAGCCTGAAGTAATGTGAAAAACAATCCCAGGCTCGTGCCTAGCGTCCTTAGAAAAAAAAAAAAAAAAAAAAAAAAAATAGCCTATAGGTTCACAGTTGTGGCATGAAGATGAATATGATTTAACAAATTAAATCATTAAACTCAATTAAATAAAAAACCATACTTTTCCATTTCTTTCAAAATCGCTATGAACATGATTGATACATCCAGCCCCATACTGGTGTTCAATGACTGTTGATTTCTTTTCCTTTATTCTGACAAATATTAGGGGTAAAATAACCACTTAAGAGCTCCAAGTCAATATAAAAAGTCTAGTTCCATAAAATAATCTTTAATTACAAATGTTCTTATGATAAGCATAAGAACATTTTAAGCTTAATTTGGGAAAGAAACTCGCAGAATTGCAGAAAGCCAGGATAGAGAGAACCAATACATATTTACAGCTTACCACAGCTGTAATAACCATGACGAAGATAAATTACGGTTACAACAAACAAACTGTTTCTGGATATTTACCAGATAGCCTAAATAAAGATTGAAGAAAAACTGTATAAAGAAATTTGTACAGTGCATTGAAAAAGTATCACTTTTAGCAATTTTACTTCATCTAGATTCTTCAGTTTAAAAATTGCTTATTGTAACATTGTCTCACTTATTGAAACAAAATTGCATGAAATATATTACAGCGTATCTAAGCTTATACTCACTCAAGTTCATCGCTTCCTGTTGCAACTCGGAAAACATTTTTCCTCTTATCACTAAATTGAAGAGCTGTCAAGAAACTGTCAGATGCCAGTTTGGCACATGCCTCTTTTATTTTATCAACTTTTGCCTCAGAAAATCCTTTGATGTTACACAGCCTTTTTCGGGTACACATCTGAATGCCTTTGATAGTACATATTCCTGACGATTTCAACTTTTTTATGTCAGCCACATTCTACAAACACATAATATAAAACTTTGAAATAGCTTCTTAAAACAGAATAATTTAAGACTGTAATCTATTGAAATTAATTAAATAGCCTAGGCTACAGAATATTTTCATAATCTGTATTTTTTGTCCAATAAATTGGTGAAGGTTTGTTAGTGAGATGAGAAACGTCTATAAATATATAACATTTATTTAATATATAGGCCTAGGTACTTACTTAGCTGGGTAGCCTACAAGATGATAAATACATTACAGCGGAAAATTTGTAAAAACTCGTAAGCTATTTGCCAATGAACTAACAATTTTCCCGAGATTTCCTCAGCAGAAGATTTCTGCATAGGGCAAAGAAGCGCTGGATAGAAGCTCGGTCAATGGTCTTCTCTTCAGTAATAATGTGCATATTAATCCGGAAAAGTGCTCAAGTAAGTTATCATTACTGAGTATCATACTCATTTTCTGAGGGCGCACTGAGAAGGTAAGAATTACCAAAGTTAGGCTTAAAGTTGGTCAGGCCCGTTTTTGACCCTGTCAGTGCCCTAGGCACAACTAATAGTAGCGCCCCTTTGCAATATACCTACATAACAGGGTGTCCACCAACCGGGAAAACTGGAAAATCTGTGAATTATGAGTGAGTTTTTTTTTAACCGGGAATTATGCATGAAATTTGTATTTCTACCTGGAATTTTCATTTTACCATGATCGCGCATGACAACAGACCGTGGGAGACGATAATATGTCTACACACGGCCGCAAAGGATGATCAGGATTATCCGCCACCGCAGAAGACGGTGATGAAATCTACAAAGTCACGAGGGATGATCAGAATATTGCCACGATCACGGAAAACCATGACAATGCCCATACGACCGCAGAAAACAGCAAGAATTTGGCCACGATCACAGAAGACTATGATGATCTCCACACAACTGCGGGATATTATTAACATTTTGCCTCAATCGCGGGAAGCGATGAAGATGTTTTCACGACCGCAGAAGACGATTACGATGGTTACAGGACTGCGGGAGATACAATAATAATACGAGAGGGATGATCAGAATTATGCCACGACGGTGCAAGATGATGATAATGTCCACATGACCGCGGGAAAAACCAGAATTTTTCCATTCACAGAAAACGATGATCTCCACATGGCCACGGGAGATGATTGCCTTTTTGCCGCAATCGCGGGAGGCGATTACTATGTTCATACGATCACTGGGAACGATAGAAAGATGTCTTCACGGCCACAAGTGTTGATCAGAATTTGCCCGCGATGGCGCAAGGCGATGATAATGTCCACATGACCACGGGAAAATATACGTATTTTGCCTCATTCACGGTAGACGGTGAAAATTTCCTCACGACCACGGAATATGTTCATATATTGCCGCGATCATGGAAGACGATACTTAATCATGTCTACACGACCGCTGAAAATAGTTAGAATTTTGCTGCAATAGCGGGAGACGATTACGATGTCTAGAAGGGATCATCAGAAGTTTACCGCGATTGCATGCAAATTCAACCACTAACTTATTTTTTTATTTTCCAATTTGTTGACGCCCTCCAAAAAAGCTAATTTTGCCTCGCGCCCTAGGCACATGCCTACCGTGCCTATTCGATAAATCGGCCCTGAAGTTGGTTTTAGTAAAATCTTACTTAAGTTAGCATGCCTAAGTTAATACCGTAACTTTAAGGATACTGTTACAAACTGTTTTATTCCTTATTTACTTAATTTAGCCGATTAGACTCGGCCTATATTTTAACGGATGGTGTTTTTAGCCTTGGGGAACTATGCTTCCTAACTTAGCCTAAGTTATTTCATGACCATCTTTGTCTAACGACGATGTTAAGCTAGTCCCATGGGTATTTCTGGGATTCCGGGATTTATTGAGATAAACTCAAGATGTGGTAATGTCCCAGCTTCAGTAACTTATAAATAACCTAAGTTAACTTATGCTACTTGACTTTTCCAATAGGCCTAACTTAAAATGTAATTTTAGAATAAGTTAAAGAACTTATGACTTATCTTATGACCTAGGCCTACCCTCCACAACAAATAATAGAGTGCATGGATAGCTTTAGTTAAATCTGTTTCCCCTAAGCTAACTTATTTCCCAAAGCCTAAAGTACAAAGTAACTCATGCCTAAGTTAAGTGTAAGTCTAGGCCTAACAGTAACTTACCACCTAAGCTTACATTACTATAAAAAATATAAGTAAACTAACTTAACTTATTCACAAACTTAAACAAAAAAAGTTCCAATTTATATTTCAGCATTAGCTTATAGCCTAGGCCTAGGCCTATTATAGAACTTATTATAGAACTTTTTTTGTTAAAAGTGTGTGAATAGTTTATTTTTTATAATGAGCCGTTTGGCAATAACTTACTATGAAGAAACTAAGCTTACATTTAAATTGGTAGGCCTAGATACAAAAAGGTTGTTGAGCCAAATGATAAATCAATGGGTTAAGGCAAGGGAACTGAAGGCCAAATATAAGTTTAACTTAACTTAAGTTATAGTTCAGATTTATATTGTAGCCGTAGGCCCTAAGTTAATGTAAGTTAGGCTATTTTCTGTTTGTTGCTTCATTCAACACTTAAGTTAGCCTACATTTACAAGCATCATTCAGTCAACCCAATAAAGTAGGCCTAAGTTTAAGCCTAAGTTAGTATTTGTTCAAAGCTATTGGTAAGTTACTTACAATCCCATGATTTTGTAAGGTATCCACATCTTGAAAAAAGTTATCTTCTTCATCCTCCAATTCAGATATATCTGGTTCTGATGCAACAACCTGGTCCCCCATTTTTATCTTTCCCTAACTTGTAAGTTAATATCAAACTCAAAATACTAAACCCAACAAACAACTCATCAATGTCTGAAAAAATATGAACCAAAATATTTATATGTTGAAATTAATTCGTGTATATAATTTATAAACAACACTAACAAAACCCGCAAACCGCAGAACAGCCACATCAACGAAAATGGAATTGAATTGAACGAAACGAACGCGTCCACTGTCCAGTGAAAACGAACGGAAGCAGGAAGAGGAACTGATGGTTGCAATCACAGGAAGTTAAATATTGAACACAAAGAGAAATAAAGTGTTACATTCAAAATACAAGTATGATGATATTTAAATATTTTTCTGGCGTCTTTCATACCTAAATTTGACATCACTTCAACATTTTATTAATATTTATTTATTTATTTATTCAATTCAACGGCAAGATCACCAATTTACAATGTGGATTCAAGAAGCCTAAGTGGTAACAAGATGAATTTTAACAGGAAACTTAACTAACTTAAATCTATGGCAGGATGCAGAGCAACATCGGTAACAGGAAATGTAATTTTGATTAGGATAGCAACAATTTAACAAGAAGTACAAAATAAATTATGAAAAGCAATAACAAAGATATGAATTTGGTCCGGCAATACAGTTATAAACAATCGATCAGCAAAAGCAAGGTAAATCTTGGCTAGGAAAGCTATAATATAACAATGGAGTCGAAATAGATATGAAAAAGCAATAACAATAATAAATATGTGATCCAACAAAACAGTATTAAACCAACGATCAACATAGCTCAAACATAATAAAAAATTTACAGAAAACAAAAAAGATAGCAAATGTCGAATAACAATGGGACACAATAGGTTTCTAGAGCGGAGGCTGGCGTTTACCCCCCCCCCCCCCGGTGGGAATTTTCGACATATACATTTTTTGGTTTGTATTGACATGTACTTTAAGGTTTTAGGTGTTTGCCACTTGTGAATTACAGCATGCTCTGGAAAACACGAAAATATCATGAATATATATATTTAAAAAAATGGTTTTTCTTTAGCGAGTTCGTTTGGCTCTACAACCCGACCGATTTTCATGATTGAGGTCTCAAATTGAAGGTATTAACGCACAGATTTCACATCAAGCATCGGCATATAGTTGCCTACAGTCCCACTCGGCTTATACGTAAACAATATTTTTTTCCCATGTATTTCTTATGGGAGTTAAATTTGGTTTTTCTTTTCCGAGTTCGTTTGGCGCTTCTACCCACCCGATTTTCATTATTGAGGTCTCAAATTGAAGGTATGCACGCACAGATTTCACATCAAGCATCAGTATATATTTATCGACAGTCCCACTCGGCTTATACGTAAATTAAATTTACCCCCCATGTATTTCTAAAGGGAGTTAAATTTGTTTTTTTTTCTTTTCCGAGTTTCTTTGGCTCTTCTACACGTCCGATCTTCATGATTGAGGTCTTAAGTTGGTAGTATGCACACATATATTTCACATCAAGCATCATCGTATATTTATCTACTTTATTACTCGACCAAAAAATATAGGTTTGATATATTTTTTAATTCGTATTCCAATTTAAATTGTACAGTATTTTACCATTTGTAATTATATAACCCTATATATTTTGGTCTAAGAACCTTCAGTGAAATGCCGGCTTGCATTTAAGATATTAGTTATTCAAATCGGACGGGTTTCAAGCAAACGCAAGGTGAACATCCAACATAAAAAAAATTATAAGGTTTTTCTATGATTGAATATCAATAGCTCCAGTATTGTTTACGTTTTTTACATGTTTAGACTCAAAATAATCAGTCAACTACAGGCTTTGAGAGGTATTGATCGTTTGAATCAGTTAAGTTTAAGATATACTGTATTACACAATCAAAAATCATAAATTTGATTATTTCTCGGATATGATATTTATTTTAACGCTGCAGTGCAGCATGGGTCCTTTAGTATAGATTTTTAGTTTGATTTGATTTGATTAGTTGATTCCTGTGCGTAGGACGGGTCCACAGCTAGTTAGAATTTGAAAATGCAAGTATGGTGAAGTCATCAGATTGTTCTCACAGTGACACACAAGCAAATGAAATGAATGAAGTGAGCAAAGTATTTTGCAAGTACTGTACTTGATGCTTTTGAACAATGCATTATTCTGCTTGAAGTTGAAAACCGTGATCAGAATTCCTAGATGGTCTGTTTTATCAGCTGGAAGACCTGTACCCGAATCGGTGGAAGACAATTTACTCAATGTAGATAATCTAGGGAAAGCTGCATGCAAACAGATTAGTTGAGATATGAGCTAAAAGAAATATTTTTCTGGAGTTTTACTGCTGTCCCAGGAACGTGATATTAACCTTGAGAAGCTGATGACATACCCATTAGATCCAGGACCATGGGCATTAGCCACTACCGATGGATGGCCACTACAGAAAAGGCCAAACTGCTCCATGCTTTGGAGAACAAGGGTATATAGGCCTAGTAGACAAACCTTCCAAGATTGAAAAATGTATGTATGTAATTGACGGTATGGCTTACTTTTAGGTTCTTACTAATATTCCAGAAACCTCTGGTGAACTAGCACGGATTGCCTTCAGCCGTTTTCCGAAATTCAGCAGGATATACTTTATTACGGATACCTATTTAGATGTATCTATTAAAAACATTAAAAGGGAGAAGGGGATTTGGAGACACGTTTTTAATGAGCGGTCCAAAATCAAGATCCCACGGGATTGGAAAAAATCCTAGCTAATGGTAAAAATAAGGAACAATGGGTTAACCTGCTAAATAATGAATGGTCTCAGCACAAATATGCATAAATTCAAACAAGCTTCAATACACGTTTCAAGGGTAATGTAAGGTTCTTTTTGGTGATATTTTGAAATTCACCCCCCACCTACAAACAGGGTTGCTAAGAGTAACTTAAATTTTTTTAAAGGCAACCCACATCAATCAGTACATTATTTTAAAGAAATTTAAAAAGAAAATTACTGTCGCAAATCCGATTTTGATACGAGTAAAACGAAGTTTTACACGTTAATTTTACTGGAACCTTACATTCCAGTAAAATTTACGTCAAAAATTTCTCAATAAAATTTATTTAATTTAAATAGAATCTCTTAAAATCTCTTTCCTAGAGGTACTCGTTAAATCTAATGTTATTTAAATATATTTAATTGAAAATCAATTCAGGCCAATTTGAAATCCGCATTGCCTGCAGGTTTGCTGCAGTGGGGGTATTTTATTAACTTTTTTATTTTCATTTGAAGAATTTGAATAAATACTGAAGAAGTCCATAACAAAATATTTCACCGGTAATTAACGCAGGCTACCCTTATGTAATTTAAATAAAACAGTTTTTAAATTTAACAGTTTTTCTTTATTTTCCGGAATACGCTGTAATTTAAAAGAGGAAAACAACTGAATTCTTAATCTGGTAGGTAATAGCAACAAAAAAAAAGTATAAGTCATAAATTCCCACGGGGGGGGGAGGGTTTCATATTGGTGGCTCATGGTCTATTCGGTGACAGGGGACCAGGATGCGGCCGCAGAACGCCTGATGGCTGCTAGGCTGTCATGAAAGAGGTCCACTGAAGCCGAAACGTAGTTGCTGGAACGCATGAGCCTTGGAATAGGGCTGTTCTGGAGGTAACTTCTTCCTGCATGCTCCAGCTCAAATAAACGCTGCTCCGTAGTCCTGATGGTGGGCACTCTGGAATTCATCTTCTCCAGGAGGTAAGGGCAAACTAGCTTGCTGTTGAGGAGCTTGTAGAGGAAGCAGGACACATCTGCTACTCGGGTCTTCTACAGTTATACATGAGACGACATCAATGGGGACTTCTAAGTAGTTGAACCCCTCTCGACGTCCCAGGAACCTGATGAATCGTCTTTGGAGTGACTCTAGCTGGTCTGTAAGGCCGAGTTGGTATGGAGACCATATAACCGAAGCATACTCAAGTAGCTGACGGACAAAAGGGACTTGTATAAGATGGTAGCTGCTACGGAATCCAGCCCGTGATTTACCGTCCGAATAACCAGGCCAAGGGTAAGACAGGCCCTGGCACATAATGTCACCAATGTTCTGTCCAAACTCAAAGTAGGAATCAATCGTGACCCCAAGATCCTTCATGCGACTGCATCTCTCCAGCCGGTTCCCAAAAGACATAGTCGTATTCAATGACGTTGCTGATCCGGCTATAAGTTATCACTTTGGTTTTAGCTTGATTGATGTACATCCCATTCGTTGAGCACCATTTTATGAACACTCTCTAAAGCTACCTTCATGTAGCAGTCAACAGTCACGACGCGATTTCACCTCCTTGAACAACTTGATGTCGTAAGCGAAAAGGAGGAAAGGAATATCAATGTCGTCTTTAATATAATTGATAAAGACTGAAAACAGAAGTGGTCAATATTGAACTACTTTATTATGACATCCACGATTACGAGTGATGTAGTACAGGTAGTTTATTTGCATATAGTACTAGTTAGTTTGGTCATGTGACGAGATTCGGTATTCATGAGACTGTGCCAATGCCTTTCGTGCTATCAGGAGCAGCGAGCGAGCAAGACAGAAGAACTGTCAAATGTTTTCATTTCGTGTCTGGTGATTCGATTCTTAGCTAGAGCCTAGTTCTCGTGCGCGAGGTGAAATCCCGCAAAGTTTTCTTATTATCGTGCTTAATAACTAGTTTTCGTCTATTAACTGGAAACAAGAAGTTATTAGGCTTCTCGATCAATCCAAACAAAGATCCCCAAAGGCTTTGCCATTGAATCTTTAACAGAAACGTATAAGTTGTGCAGTTCGTTATCTCAGAAGATGGCCGCGAATTTGGATGAAGAACAGAGTCTACGCGAATGTGAGGCCTATGTTCAAAGGCACAATATCCAACAAGTGCTGAAGGATTGCATCGTCCAGCTTTGTGTTAGTCGTCCGGAGAATCCCATTTCATTTTTGAGGGAATACTTCCAGAAGCTAGAAAGGGTAAGTAAATTTTAGGTAACTTAGAGCACCAGTTAGTGAGACCCAAGTTTACTAGGCCTAGTAAATGTTTAAATATTGCGTACATTTATTGCTATCAACTGGCTTGAAGGAAAATCATAACTAATTTGAATGACTGGCTAGCTGCTAGCTGCTCCTTGTTAGCCTCATTCTTATACTTAGGTGGTAACATTTGTTGGAAATTAATAATGACTATACATGCAGTGTTCTCCAGTTTACAATTTATTTTAAGGTAGGCTACACTTGCCTAGTGAAAATACAAAAATTTCAGAACCGTTAAATGCCAAAATGTGACCGGGATTGTTAAAATTAATCTAAGTTAGCCTATGTTGATGTCTTTTCATCCAGAGCCGGGTTTACGGATTAGCATAACTTAAAGAGGATTGGTTGCTATGATAGCCTTATGGTTTTTTTAGTTGTGGGGGGTTAGGGGATACCACAAGCTGGGGAGAAATTATTCTTCAGTCTTGCAGTTAAATGATCAACGACCGGAAGTAACCTAAGTTTAGGGTATGTTAGGTCATTTAAGTCCAGATCTAAGTTAGTGAGACTGCGTACGTACAATGACTTTAGACAGACTCTTTCTCCTCCTTGTAACGTAATGTACAAGTGAGCTACTCAGGTATATGAGGGCCAGCCCAAAAACAAATTAATGTCAATAATGCCAACGGTTAACTCATGCCTCTGCTAAATATAGGATTGATTAATAAGGGTCAAAAAAGGTTCTCTACAGCATGCCCCCGGACTGTGCCACTACCGTACCTGACAATGTAGGTAGGCGAGGTTGAGCCATCAGGCTATTCTAGTTTGGAATACATTATACCTAAGTAGGGTACCTAAGTTATTTAGCTTTGTTTCTCTTATCAATAGCCTACAGTTAAAGTAGAAGTTAGATTTCTAATGGGATACCCTGTTTTGTCCTCTATAACTTGGCCTAACTGGTTTTTACTATTAAATAGCCCACAACTAACAATAACTTAACATTCTAGGTTAAGTACGGTACCTATAGGATTAAATTGAGGACCTACCGGTACAATGCAATTCAGCTGTTTTCTGAGTCCTGTCAAGACATGAAAATCCAACTTCCTTTATTTATTATGTCTAGTTAGTCTACAGTACCAGTTATTGAGATGGTTTTGTGCACCTCAGGAGACATGTCGTCAATTAAGTGTATAAGTAGGCCTAATTAAGGCAGTTGACGATGGGTGAAATAAAAAAGGTAATATTGTTAGGGAATTTGCACGGTAATTCCGCCTAACACTGTAGGCCCGACATATTGACGATTTTGAAAAACCGTGAAAAAGTGAGGTAAAAAATGGATTGATCAATCAGAAAAGAAGTAAGAACGGTGAGTTAAAGACATGGATTGAATGTGTTTTAACAAGATGAAAACAGTGTCGAGAAAAACATTCCTAATCAGGACCGATTTTTCAAGAAAATGTCAATTATTAAAAATATATAAATACAAATCATATTATGCTTGATAAATTGTTTTATTTTGCTCTCACAGTTACCCTTTAGTAGGTAGTAGGTTTAAAATATATCTTGAGCTCAATTTATAAAGGTCTTGTGCACGTAAAAATCTAGAAATAAAGGATGTGACGGTGTCTCAAATATTTTGTACCTTCACAACTCAAACCTCGCTTAGGCCTACTCGAAAAACTCGATACCTTGAATTTTTCAATCAATCATTTTAGCCTCTGGATTGCTTATATAATCAATTGATAATGTAAACTCTTACCTTAGCAATCCTTATTGTGGTTGTCCGATATTAATTTCGGACCCGTAGGTCCATCTTCAGTCGGGGGTTTAGGGAGACCAAATACTTATTATAAGATCCACCCGATGGGTTTTGTAGAAATGTTGACATTTAACACGATACACATTACAGTTGACATAAATAATATACAGAGGTTAGAGATAAAAACCATGGTTTTATAAAAGTGGGATAACCTCACTTCAGTCAGGGAACACGTTGCCGGCAGAACTGTCAAATTAGTCAGGATTCAAATCAAATCAATCAATCAAGTCAGGATCCTGACTAATATGACAGTTCTGCCAGCAACGTGTTCCCTGACTGAAGTGAGGTTATCCCACTTTTATAAAACCATGGTTTTTATCCCTAACCTCTGTATATTATTTATGTCAACTGTAAGGTGTATCGTGTTAAATGTCAACATTTCTACAAAACCCATCGGGTGGATCTTATAATAAGTATTTGGTCTCCCTAAACCCCCGACTGAAGATGGACTTACGGGTCCGAAATTAATATCGGACAACCACAAAAAGGATTGCTAAGGTAAGAGTTTACATTATCACTTGAATTTTTATAATACCTCCTTCAAATTCGAGGTCCTGTGCGCTACAACTGCTATACATACATGCTATGTGGCCATCGCCGTTCTGGCTCTTCCTTGCTTGATACAAGTACATTTCTGCCCCAACATACCAGATCTAAAGTACACGGTTGTCCCATAAGTATGTATCCTCATTATCTTACTTCTGTGTTTAGTCTCAGGTGACTAGTTTTGTAACAACAGGTTAATTTTAAAGACTCTTGCTTCATAAAATTAAAGAAAAGTACATGGATTAATGGATGGATACATTAGTTTAGCTTAAACTAATTTAATACGACACAACTCACATGGACACATTCTTTTTGGATAGACCTACTAAAGAAGCTACAGGATAGATGACTAGCTGTAGGTAGTCTTTAATAAAAGATATAGCCCAGCTCAATAAGTCTCTATAATAGAGTTAAGAGTATTTTTTGGAAAGGGATAAAGATCAGATAGCTGACTGGAAAAATTATTCCAGGCACTTATAGGCCAGTTACATAAATATCCCTTTATAGCAGGGTGGCCACCTTAAGTTAGGGAAAAATCGGGACATTGTCCCTCTTCCCCCTGAATTAACCAAAATCAGGACTGTCCCGGCAGTATCTGGTCCTACTTTATAGTTTTCTCAATTTACTATCATTGTAGTTTGTTTAAGTGACTAACATCATTTCAGTACCTGGCCTAGTCTAACTGCTGCATTGTATTTGTGAGATTGGTGTCTCTGCTTGTAATAAAAGTAGGCCAACCATTTGCTTGGAGAACCAGAATTTAAATTCCACCCAAGATTTTGCAACAGATACGTAAACATGTCTAGGCTAACTAAAAAATTATAGTAATAGTTATATGCAATGAAAAAACCCTAAACCTTTTAGAATTCACATTAAACTAGGCTAACTTTGATTGGACAGCCCATCCAATTTTAGCAGCAGGCCTACCTAGACTTTTTGGGGGTACAAAGCATATTTAAAAGAGGCCAACTATGAACTTGAGCTAGTCTAATTTTCAACTAGCCCCTTTTTACTAAAAATAATTGCAGATAAACCGTAGTTAAAAGGTATTTTGGTGCATTTCCCATATGGGGAATAAGCTAGGTATTACCGTAGGGTTCATGGTAAGCTGGCACCCCACTTTACATCTTCGTTTAGATGTCCCCAGACGCCAAAACACCATTTAAATTCATACATTTAAATCTTGTGTAAAAAATATCAGATTTTTATCAAATTTTTAGCCTACAAATGTGTTTTCAAACCTGTGTATTTATTTGAACAAGTTTGCGAACTAGCATGTGTTTTTACCCCCAAAAGTGCAATTACTATCAAAACTGTTTTGTCGGGCTTAGAAAACAATTAACTTAGTAGGCTACACACTATTTAAGCATTGTTGTACTTTCAATGGTTGTGGAGAAAATTTCAAAAACTTTAAATTTAAAATTCTCATGTTATTATTAGGCTCCGGGTACAATACACGCTCTGACATCAGGTCTAATTTAGTTGCATGTAAATTTGTTGAGGGTGGCCGCAATAAGTCTGAGCGGCGAGAGGCGGTAAGGGATACCGCTAACTGCCGCTCGTGGATCCAAGTCAAAATCCTTCATAAGAGATTAGGTACAGTATATAAGAGAAGTGTGTTGATAATAGATGTGCAGTCCAGGGAATGTTTGTGGAATGACCAGCACGGAGGTTTTAAAAAACTTCAGTCACCAGAAGAACTATAGGACTAAGTGGGAGCTAAGTTTTTTCTTTAAAAGAGAATTGTCAGATCATTAGTTGCAATACATCCTGCGGGTCTAAACAGTTTGCCATCTTCGACTAAAGTGACATCACCTACAACGGGGAAAATTCAATGAGCATTACAAATGTGCTGCTTGTATCATAGCCACCACTGCCGCTCAGATCGTTGTGAACGTAATCTGCTTTTTTCAGCTCTACATTCAATAGCTGTGATGATAATTGAGCATTTCTATGTTTCAAGAGTATAAATATAAAAAAAACAATTTGATAGAAAACTTTAAATCCCTATTACACTCTGTATCTTGCTCGTTTACAAACTCATTCATGTTTATCCAGCTCTACATATTCATTGCAAATTAAATCAAAATTGGGCCATATTTACTGAAGTCATGTTCATAAAAATTTGAACTAGGCCTAATAGTGTTTTTGGCCTCTGGGGACTTACCGAAAAGTACATCGGTCCTGGCTCTAGGTCTTTCTGTGCAAAAATACTTTAAGATACTAAAACTATTTTGTTCAAGCTCTACAAACTGTTTTAGGGGGGAATTAGGAAATACTAAGTCTCGAGGATCAAAAATGAGAAAAACCAATTTTTACACCATAAAACCCTGTTCTCCTAGTCTGATCATGCTGGTTCGCGAAGTTGTTTAAATGTAAACATAGGTTACCATGTTGGTACCAAGTATCATTGAAATCAGATAATTTTTTCTTTAGTTATTCTGTTAACGGACACATATTTTATGTAAATACCGGTATACCCATATGAATTCGAACGGATGGTGTATTTAGCTTCTGGGACATCAAAATAAAAAAGAAAAGAAAAATCTTTGCTGGGTCTTGGTCTCACTATGAGACCCAAGGTCCTATTCCTACAACAAATTCACTATGATTGGAGAATACAAACCTCCTGTTGTTGAATATTTTACTAAAAAAATTGAGAAATAATACTTATGATCTCTTCATGCTGTATGCAATAAACACATGATTATTGTTTTACCTCACCGTATAAGTGTTAGATGGTGTGTTGAAACAGTAGTTTCTCTTTCATTGGTGTCATTTGTAATATAATACGGATATGGAACTATACAGGATTTCCCTCTAAGAGACTTCATACAAGTTTTTCCTAAATCAACTAGGAAACATGGTATTTTAACTGTGGATGGCGTATTTATAATTTGGTGGGAACATTTAGTACAATTTACTAGGAAGATCTCATTAGCTGTACCATTACTCAATACCTGATGTCGAGTGGTGCTAAGTTAACAAAAAATTGGTAGTTTGAATCAGTAGGAATTGTTTTATTAGCTCTTGTCATGCATTTCCACCCTTTTTTTGAAAATTGTTGTGTACAGTGGCATAGCGACAGAGGAGCAAGTAAGCCCTAGGGGGCGAGGGCGACGCCAAGCTAGGATTTTTTTGTTTACTATGTTGTCAAGTGTGGTTGGGGCGGAAGTAAGGTGAAGAGGAGGGGGTAGGTATTATTCCAAACTCCCATATAAACTGCATGGAAATATTCGACCAATCACAGCCGGTGCATCAGGCTCTAATGGAACAGATTAGATATAGGGTGTTTGGGACTCTGTCCAAACAGTATTTTAAAGTATTGCCACAACGAGCGCTGAGATCTGTCAAAAACAATTATTATGAGATCACTGATCAGTGATCGGTCAAATAAATGAATATTGTAGTGATTCGTGAGGTTATGCTTTCGTGCCACGCACGCCGGTATTCGATTTGTTAATTTATTAATATACCACTGTTTCTTTAGAAGTGTTGTTTAGTGCTAATAATGAACTATGAATTCGGTTAAAAAAATTTTACAAAGTATGTGGGTGGTTAGGTGGTAAGTTTTGAATAGAGAGTTGAGTTAAAAAAAACCCTTGAAAGTTGAGCTAGTCCCGCCAAAACCTGATTTAGTTATCACACAATGTCAAAAATCCTGTAAAAGTAGGAGAGGATTTATGTTTGTACTGTTCAATTATGCCTAAGATAATGCCCAAACGGGCATCATCTTCTAAGTGCTTAAATATCACTGACATCTACCCCCCATTTGTAAGTTCACGTCCTTTGCTCAGTTTCCGCTGTTTACGAGCACTTGGTGTTGGTAAAGCTATCCTGTTTTGAGGAGATTTCTAAGTAAGGATAAGTTCCGTCCAATGAACTTAATTTAAAATCATCTTTTTATTTTCGAACACCCCAATTAAATAGGTTAACTTAAATATAATAAACCCAATGAAAATACAAATTTATGTTTTAAAAATTATTATGTCTAGATTGCAGTTATTATTTTTCAAAAATTTTTCCGGGGGAGGGCCCTTGGACTGCATACCTGGAGGGTTACCCTCCTGTCCTGGGGGCGGCTTGGGCCATCTCTGCTCCAGGGCGATCCAAACCTGGCTACAACACGGTTGTGTTTGTCTTGGGTTGTTAAAATAATAACACTTAGCCTATCTTTGGTCATCATCTTCTAGTTAGGAAAATTTCACTGGTTGCATTAATTGACATGCCCCTACCAACTAAACGCTCTACCAACTAAATGATACTGACTAAATGATACAGAAAGAACAGCTTTTCATTCAGTAACTTCTCTGGTGCAAATATTTTTAACACTAGAACACTGCCTGCTTTTAAAAGTATTAAATCAATTCTTAATTTTATCTAAGAGAAAGAAATATTACTTACGTTTTATACAATGTTATATGGTATGTTTGTACATGGTCACGAAAGATTAATTTAGCCCCTTAATAATTTAATTGATTGTGGCAATAAATCAAAAGTGGAGGATACAAAAAACATGACAAATGTTAGCATAACAATAAGTTTATTGTAAGACGCAAAGGCATTATAAATATAACAGTTTTAACAATACATTCAGTAAATATATCACCGGGAAACTAAAGCATACGTATATTTGATCATGTTTAATGTCATGATGATTTTCAATATCACAAGCTAGTTTTGTATTAAAATGTTGTATACTTAAAATTACTTCCATATTATTTGATCTTCATAATTGTCATTGAGAAAAATCTACCTAATATTTACAAAACCATAAAGATAAGAGCACATGTGCAGTTTACTTCAAGTATTAAGTTATCAGTAATACTAACTAATTGTCATTTCACTATAACACAGCTTTTTCTAACAAAAAGTTTAACAATCCTAATATATGACATAAAATATCTAATGCTAGTAACACATATTCAGGCACACGTGCTAGATACCCTGTTAGGCAATAAGTTGAGTGGTAGACAAAACTAATTTTTGGTTAAATGAGTATAATATTGTATAATAATCTCAAGTGATTGTAATAATCTCTAAATATCATCGTATCTGAAAATATATGCTTTGGCAATGTTCTTAACTCTATACAGCTGTAAAAATGTACTCTCGCCTGGCGAGATATTTCAAAAAACCCTTTAACTATACCCTGAAAGTTGATATGTATTAAAGCTCTTAATTTTTCATTCACTCTAAATCTAGTTCTAAACCTAGCTGTGACGGATTTAAAAGTGGGGATTTGCCATTTCCAATGTACTCCGGTTTCCAAAGCTGGTTACGAAAGAAGTTGTTGACGACTGTGATGTCGTGGTCGATGGACGAGAGCAATTGGGACGGCAGTGATGTGATTGTCGCATTTTCCGTTTGGCTCATAAGCAATGGTTTGATACCGGCAACTAGATCTCTTGCAACGGATACTGATGTTTTCATCTCTTCCGCTTCAATTCGCCTTTCTTCTGCCTCGTATCGTGACTTGATTATCAGTCTCTCCCTTTGGAGTCGGATTCGTTTTTCTGTGATAGAGTACATATTCATAAACGCCTTCTGACAGACCTCAACTGTTTTCCCCGCAGGTAGTTTGGGCCTCTTTCCTTGGAAAACAAAACATTTGTATTACATAACATTCACTCAATATAAATTCAGGTAAATAAACAAAAATACCTTTAACTTAACATTCATTTTGCTATGCAATAATGAAGTTTATCTACATTTTTTTACAATTAGCAAACAATTATTTATTACTGAAAATCATCAAAATTCAAAATTTGTTGGAAGATAAGGTGTTGCTGGAAAGTGTGATGTTTTTTTGTTAAAACCTCAAGATGTTTAACGTTAAGGGCTCTTGGGTCTTTTTTGTTTACATATCCTCCATCTAGTTCCAGTACAACAAAAGCTGGATATTTTGTCTAGTCTTAAGAATAAGAACAGGGTTTTTGCCATTGAAAATTCAAGTACCGTAGGCCTAGATTAACCTAGCTGGGAAGTAGGTCCTTTATATTGAAGACATATGTTATGGAAGATAATTGCCAGAATTGCGTTACCCATAGGCATAAAACTGTTTTGTAGGGTCCTATCTTTTGTCAAATTCATGCAAGTAAAAGTAGTTTACATATCCCAACATTATTTAACATAGCTTCCGTCAAAGGTCAGGCAATTGTTATTTTATCCATCCAAAAACTCAACTCACTTTTTAAGTCTGTGACAGATAGGTTCTCTGATGGATAAGACGTTGGTAATTCCAAGGGTATTCTGTATTTACAAGACACCCTGCGCTGTAGACGACCCCCAACTCTTGTCTCTTCTTGGTATAGTCGTTTGTGAACCGACCGCATCTCAATATAAGACTGCAGAAAGTAGTTTTGCTTCAGATGATCTCCCATTTTGTAGAAGTCTATGAATAATCGCTCTCTCACTTCTTGCGGAATCTTCTCTCCACATTTTTGTGGACAGTTGCATAATTGATCTGATGAAAAGAAAATTGTTACTGTCATGAACATGGTAACTATGACTAATACATTTTAAGTGGGCCATTTTAAGCTTTAAAAGCTTTCTAAAAATCAGTTATAAATATATATTAATGGAACAAATCAGTTTCTCGTTTTTGCAGTCCCAATCTACAATTTTACTTAAAAAGAGGTATGTTGTTTATATACGTAGATTCCTTGCTTCTTATGACGAAGTGTAATAGTCGCATGTTTACAGATATAAAATTGTGTTTTTACGATATTTTCTAAATGAGTGCAGCGTTAACCGAATAAGAGAATGAGTCAGTGGACGTAAACCTGACTGCTTTCAATTGTAAGGTTAGTTGCTAGGGTGTCTTAGGCAAATTACAAAAAATACGAGGATTAAACTTAGTTGTAAATTAAATAACAATAACCAGCAAAACTAGAAATAAAAAATTGTTGTGTGAGCTCATTTGTAATTTTACAAATCCAATCTAGTCCAAGTTTTACAAAGGCTTATTTGGTTTAACAGCGAAAAAGGAAAATAATTAAGTGACTACTGACTATACTAAGTATGAAATCATTTTAGCCTATTTTATCAGATGTACGGCATTACTATAATTAACAATCCTAACCTGACCAGTAAAAATAGGTGACACATAAGTAGCCTACATCGTAATAGTATATTACGTTACTAGTCCTGAAAATAAGTGTTTACCGGCGAGTGTGGTAGTCGAGTACGGGATTACCATACGGGTCCGGTACACATATTTTGGACCAGTTACGTACGATAGTTTACGCCATACTATGAAATCTATACAAATCCTTATATCACCAACTAAAGGATTAAAAATCACTAGTCTTTTTGTTTATAACCACTCATTGCCACCTAAATTACAGTAGGCCTACAGTACTACGCAATGAAACCCCATTTGAATAAGCTGGCGGCAAACAGCTGTTTTCTGGACTAAATACTTGCGTGGGAAGTTCGTCAAAACAATTAACTTAGTTCAAGATTGTTTAGATTTCAGGCTAGCCTACATTAAGGAAAAATGTTTATAACTGACAAAAATAATTTGTGTAAAGTGCTTACAAAATGTAAAACATTTTATTACCGTATTGTGCTGGTTTTAGTGGTCACCGTGATAGTAAATTGTGTGGAGAGAACATGAGGAGGGAGAAGGTAAAGGATTTAGCTTTCCCAGTTTAAACTCAATTTTGTCTAACCATTATTTGAAATTTTAGAATGAATTGGTCAAGTCTTAAAGTTTAGCGGAGGAGGGAGGTTGAGGTTGCCAAAAGACAATAATAAAGTACACTGTAGGCTTTAACTACCTAGTCTATAGGCTATAGGTTTTTGCCTTTCTACCAATATGAATATGTTTAAATGGGCTACTTTACATTTAAAATGATGAATAAAATTAGGCCTATATTTAAAGATAACAATAAAATCCTTCAATACTGTAAGTTAAGTATTTCAAAGTTAACGTTTGCATTGAACGAGCTGATGAACACCTTATATACTGTATTGTTTCAAACACTGACAGTAAGTTATTAGATCTATCATGGTACAAAATAGCAACGGAAGTTTCATTTTACAAAACTGAACATGAAAAAAAATTGCAGGCCCCTTTGTAACTTTGTTAGGTTCTACTTAAGTTAGGTGTAAGTTAATAAGTTATTTTCCTAACATAAATTTGTAACACACCAAAGTACCAAAGTAGGCTATCAAATCAAATTACCCAAGTTAACTTTTTACAGAAGATTGGATTAGCTACTGTAGTGTTTCGCCAAATTCGGCACCTTTAATAGTTTTTATTATGAAATTGTACTTATTTTCATCAGATGTTTCAGAAGAAATTAACTTAATGACTGTCTGAAAACTAACCTCAATCTTAAGTTAGAAGTAAAGTTATCTAACTTAAATCGTACAGGTTTTTTATAAGTTTGATGGCCCTCATTTGCTATAGTAGTACAGTTATTTTAAGGGTTTAATGTTCCAATGCCAATCATATCTTACTATTAGGCCTAATAATTCCTTTTTCCGTACCCTTATTAACGATTTATAGGTTATGTTTCTACTAAAGGAACTCCGTCTGTGACTTTTGCTTTTCAATAAATTGTTTATTACACCGAAATAGCTCTGAGATCTGAATTGACGGTCATTTTATTCATTCTGGTCAAGACAAAGAACCTAGTCCTGGTCTAGATATCATAAACTAATTCCCTAAAATTAGTAAATTACCTGCTTGTTTCTTAGCGGCTATCGTTCTACCCGTTCGAGAAATGTATTCCAATCCCGCATTCCTTAGTCGTTTGTTCTCTTCCCTATCTTCATCTGTCCAGTCGAATGCTTTCCCGTTTTCGGGAATCGGGCTTAAACTATCAGAATCTGACGCCATTTTACAAACACTTCATTTCCGTTCTTTTGACTGGTACTCCACAAAACAAAAAGATAATAACTACGTGGTGGGGGGAGGTAAATGTACTGAAGATTCAGTGAGTGAACTCAGAACTGAGGAGAAGAGCAATAAAAAACTGCCAGGTGCTGAAGTCTGGCGATGATTCCATAAACTTGACACGAACTGTGGTTCTTTGCGTCGCCGGCAGAGCGCTCGTTGGCCAGCTGACGTTTCATTGTCATGAGATACTGTCCAATCCACTCAGCTCCAGCTGTTTCAATCAATTGAATTAACAGCTGCTCTACAAGCGTTGTTATAGTAAAACCAGAAACAAAAGAACCCTGGGCCGTTTCGAGCCGCGCAGGTTTGAATGGTACGCCACACCTAGCTGCGCGAACCACGTGATCTTTTCGTTTCTGCGCAGGTTGTTTTGTTCTTGGTATATCTATAGTATAGGTTAATAAAGTTTTATTGAAATACACCGGTAACTTTTAAAACTTTTTGCTGATAGTGAAAATAAATTCGGCGGTTTTAGATTGAGAAACGTTAGGCGAAATCGCCGATGCGCCACTACACTACATTTCATTAAAATGTGAGGCTGTTAGCAAGCAAGCGTATATGACAAGCGTAATTTATAAACCATGAAATCAGCTGATATGTCTTGAACCGCCAGATCTGTTTGTGTAAGAATTGAGTTAAATAAAAAAATACGATACATTACGTGGATGGCAATTAAAAACGCTACTCTGATACTTAATATTTAATTTTAAATATAAATAATATCAATATTTAATATGTTAGTATTTAATATTTATTTGATATTTAATAAATATATTCTGCACCACTAGTTGTAATATTTATTGTATTGGTCCCTATTTTTGAACATAGATTGATATCCTTAACTAAAATATTTATTCACAAAATTTCTAATTTCCATATTCTCAATCGGTCTCCTGTCAATCAGACAAATAATTGACAAATCCATTTAGATCATCTTTCTGTATTATTTTAGTTGATTCGGTTTCTACCTTTGTCTATTGATGGAAGTATACATCCAATTCCCATGTTACAGTTTTTCATAGTTTTTGTACGAAAATAAACTTTTATGAATTTAGCCATCGACTACTGCACCTGATTTCAATTAACTTGATGATTTCTGTTCAATAGTACGCCTTGTTTAACAAGCTGAATCAGACGTTATAGCATCTGTCACATTATATCAGTACAGCTGATCTATATTGATGGGACGTCTACTGCAGAATCCAAACGTCAATGATTCTACTTGACTCAGTTTTGGAATCGAAAGTCGGTAGTTGTAAATATTTTGCTGACAATGCTATGGAGCCATATAGAATAGAGCTACTGTATATGGTCGCCTTCTCAGACAAACAAAACAAATACCTAACTCCCTTCACTTTTAAACTGTTCTAGTCTCTCGTAAATATAAATTTGTGTAGTTCCGTTAAGTGTGAAGAGATAAAATTAAAATAGTCGAAACCATGTAATAAATATACTACCGTGCAGATTTGTTCTGGTTGATAAGATGAAGATAAATTTTAAGGTGTGTTTGTTTCCTACGGTATGTTTGGAATGAGTTTTTTTTATTAACTTGCCATACAGAACGATTAATTTGTAAATTGTTGCTTGTGCTGCAAATTACAGCGCATTCATTGAATTCGTAAATTTTACTAATCATTGGTAACATTTATCTAGTCGATATCATTCTAGAGCGTTAGAGGACACGAATTAGACACTAAAATAGATCTCATATTTGACAATAGGATACTCGCACTTTGCATCAATTTCTTGTTATCTTAAGTCTGGCGTTTAAAGAAGGCGTCATTGGCATTTTCAGAGATGAAATTAATGAAAGTTATAGGTGGTTCTTTTACACGGGGTTTGTCCGAAGAATGAAGCCAGTCTGGGGGCAATGTGGGTGGGGATCAGATGAAAATAGCAGCAAGAATGTGTCAAATATAGAGCATCTCTGCGTGCGTTCTCGCAGCCCGCCGTTAAATCTAATTGCTCCGTCACTCGTCGCATATCTTAATAATTTTGACCTTCAAACTCATCCCAAACAACATACGAAACGCCACGGAGAATCTAAGAAATCTTTTCAACTTCACCCTAGATTGACTATGTTTTAGGAAGAATTACCTTTCTTTGAAAAATCTTGTCAATTATCATAATTTTTGTTTAAATTACAGTACAAATAGTTGTTTATAAACAAACACCAGCTTTGCCAAAGCGAATTTTTGCAGGATAGAAAAAGTTGATTCTTTTTGCCCAACCTAAATATGAAAGCCCTTGAAGAAACCTCAATATCATATATCTGAATATGGAAATAACGTAGTTTGAATAATTGAGGGTGGAATGAAAGCTACATAGTTTTCCACATATTCAATTTCATTATTTTAAATAGTAATCCTTTGTATGTAGATGATACTTTCATCTGATTGGCCCAGTTTTCTTTTCGTGTGATGAAAACACAGATTTTTAGTCACCGCATTTCTATAATAGATTATTGTCGTGAAAGCAGATAATAAATATATTTAACAAAAAGAAACTCAAGCTGCACAAGTAAGAACAGCGTGAATGAAAATAATTGACGGACATCAAATAAACAATATTTTAGGAATTACAGTAGTATTTCAAAGAGATACAAACAACGTTGATAATGCAGCAAGCCTACAAGTAGGTAGCGCCTGCCGCAACACTGCCTTGTATTGCGGTCTGCGGATCACAGTTAATGCAGGCGTTAAACAATGTCTACGCGTGAAGTATTTCGGGCACACCGCACCATACACAAATAACTCAAGTAATAAAGTTTATAGTGTTATTTACACTAATTATTATTATTGTAATCTTAAATTTAGACTTCTACTTTTTGAAGTATGATGTTTGATGAGTATGATTGTGTCGAGTTTGCGTGAAAGAAATGTCAAAGCAAACTTAATTAGGTGTAGTTTGAATATTTTGAAATAAGAATGAAGAATTGTTTTAGCTGATTCAACGCCAGTTTGTATATACTGTATACATTATTTACAATAGGGCTATTCCCCCTCCAGTAAAATGCGATAAGTAAACGCTCATAATTTATTGGCGAATTGATAGGTTATGTAGAAAACCCCTTAACATTGCACATTTAAACTTCTAATGTTGTTATTATGGAAAAAAGTAAACTGTTGTACTTTGCGAATTAAATGTATTTTTATCAAATTCGGCAGATTAATTGATTTTATAGGCCTACTATTATATTTTACGAAAAAATCCTTCTTTATAGCAGCAAATCTGAGTAGATAATTATTAAATCAAATTATATTTAAATAGGGAACAAATCAACAAATATAAGGAAATATTTTAGTCAAAATAAAAAAAATCCAATCAGACAAATGGAAATCTAATTGGTCTGCATATTTGCTGCGGTAGGGTATGGTAGCTGACATAAAAAAATAGAAAATGTCGTTAAACCCTATTTTAAAACCTATTCATTGCAGTTATTTAACGGAAACTTGTATGACTTTAGCACGATTCTAAAATATTGGATGTTTTATTTCTCTATTTAAAAAAAATGCTTTAGATAAATATAGCTTTTCTATCTTAATAAGTCTCATAGTTTATTCATACTAACATAACATGTCATCAAACTGTTTTTTTAAATTTATTAACAAGTTAACAAGTTCAAGTTAATTGTAAAAACCGCAGAGAAAGACTAGTTGGTTAATTTTGTAATACGTTTACCAAAAACTCCGCTGGGTTAATCTGTTCTATAGTAACAGTGTAGGCGTATGCCTGTTAATGTTGCGTTTCATCAACCAGTCCAAAATAAATGTGTAGCGCCCATATTACAATGTAGCGCCGTGCAGAGACGGAAGGCAATCTATACTCTGTACATGGATTGCCTAGGTGGTTAATGAAGGCTCTTCTTGTTGGCAGAGTTAAATTACGTACCTTTAATTAAATATTAGTATTTTTGATTTCAAAATAGTCATAATGCTTTGCTCTAAGTTATGAAGTGCAATTTATATATCAATTTCCCTTTACGTGCCATATGTGAACTAATATTAAAGTTCTGTTTTTTATTGTTCTTTTATTCGATAGAGGGAATCAATACAATGAGCTACCAACAATAGAGAATGAATTCCTTTATTTTATCCGTAATTATACTGTTTAAGTAATATTATGATTAATTGTTTATACAGTATTTATTTTGTTTTAGGTATGTAGCCTGCCCCTGACGTTTTGCGCCTAGTAAGTTTGCTGCATATTACATTATTAATGCTTATAGTTTTAGAATAAAGTAACTTGTTGCCTTTACAATTATGAAGTGTCAGTGAAAACGTATTTTGGCGCAAAGTATTTCTCTCTATTGATTGCGAAGTAAAACACGATATGTTTTGAAATCAAAACAGTTTTGTTTTACTCTGATGAAAAACATAAAAAAACAACCTTATGGTCCGTTTTTAACCTAGTGTCATCACGGAATTTATAAAGCATGATGTATTTATGTTTTTGAAATCATTTTGTTTTTATTCTAACATTATTATAACAAAACTGCAAAGAACATGTTTAGAGGTTAAAACTTCAAAGTAGTAGGTGCGGTTCGGTTGATCCGCTATTCTACAAGTTATTTCCTCGAGTGTTCGATCCACTATTGTTGTGCATTGACCTATTTCACGTACAATGGATCAGCTGTTTGCAGTTTGGATGACAACAGAGAGAGGGTTTGAGAATGATAGTCGTAGGGGTGGAACTCCGAGTGTTGCCGAACACGCCCGAAGTTTCACGATCGTTGTTTATTGGGTAAACAAAATCTAATCAGATACAAACTACAGTGACATGCGCTTCTACGACGTGAAATTGAGATTTTGTTTGATAGCAAACATCGCCTCGTAAAAGAACACCCCCAGTCTCATAACGTTGACAGTTTACACGGAGCACCTCATCACTCATTACATAGAACACTTTGCACAGAAAATCGAATTTTATCTAATGGAAAGATTTGTACCGCATTTTTTTACATCGCCTATCCAACTTAAAGTGTTGAACTAGGCTCATGGTAAATTAAGTGATTTGCACCAAACACCTTTTCAAATTCAGGATTTTCAGAACAAACATGAATGATGAATGTTCTGAAA